TTCATTGATTGCAGAAGTGTTATAACCATTATACTTCTAATTACCCAAGCCCGAAGAGCAGAATGAATCCAAATAGGTGCTTTTGTAGGGCCTTAGATATAGGCATTGAAGCTTCCTATCATAATTCCTTCTATACTCAAACGTTCTATGATAATCATAATATAACAGAAGTAAAACTAAGGGATAGGTCGATTACCTGCGCCCCAAGTAACTTCGGACTTATTGTTTATCAAGGACTGTCGTGGATGGGTTAAGTCCACATAAGGTTCTTTTTTATACCTTGAGACCAAGAACTTTTGAATGATCAATCTTACATGCCCGGGAGCTTAGAACTTAGATCTGATTTAAACTATGAAGACATATTTCAATTGAATTTAAGAACTGATGAGTCTTTTAATCACCAACTTGCTAGAAATAACTTGGATACAACTGAAAGTATACAACATATTGCTAGACTAATGAATGAAAAGACAAAAACAAAGAGGATCGGGCAAGGCTGATCGTCTTGCAACTTCTTATCTTTGTGATTTATCAATGGGTGTGAAAGCTTAGAAAGAGGGGTAGGGAAATGAGTTTACAAAAGGAAATTGATACTACAGCAAGATTTAGACAAGGTAGCAGAGTTATTACAAAGGCTTTTGGTGAGGGTTGATCCCGAAAGGGATGAAGGCTTGGGCTGACTACAGCTTCGTTGAAGGCAAATCTGGTTTGAGCAGAGTTTGTGCTTGTATTTGTTTTTTGATTAAGTGTCCTTATCTCTGATTTCTCTTTCTTCTTTTATAGACACTTCGGCTTAGCCTCCTGTAGCATTAATCTTGCCCGAATGCAGCTTGAAGGGTAGTGACTCATCAGTTTTTTACTTGTACTGCCACTGTAAAGTACTTTTGGGCTGATTAGCTGGTTGGTCTACACCACTTGGTCTCTAGGCAGGTGAGCAAGTGGTTCAAATGGCCTGCACCTAGTTAGAAAAGGGCCTCTCCTGTCTTCTGGGCTTTGGCTGGGCTTTGGACTTTTTCCCCTTCTAGATCTCCTTTTGGGCCAACTCTTTCTTGAGCCCAAAGTTCAAGTTTTAACCCAAACAGAGGGTGCGGCGGAGAGATCTAGGGAACAAAAGAGATGATTTCAGTTTAATTTTATTTTAAGTTTGATTCTTCTATTGGTATAATATCAAATATAGTATAAATAATATGATCATTAGTCTGATACTGTACCAAACGTTCGACTAATTTAGTCAGTACTATCGGATGACTATTTATCCTACCCAATAGAAATAATCAGTACAGTCCGAGCTGCCAAACGAGACCTTAATGTCTTAACTAGCATTTATCTACACACTTTGTGTGTATGAACACGTTTCTTTAGAAAATGAGAAGGAGAACAGAAGAAAGAGAGAGAGAGAGAAAACTTGGGGTGGGGGGGAAGTGGTAGGTTTTTGGTTTTTTTTTTTTAAATTTTAAATATTAGAGATATTTTAACATTACCTGCAGGCAAGGTCTTAAATGTCGATAATATCGGCAAAATATCGTCGATATTATCGGTTTTTCGCGTTACCGATATTTTAATAGGTATCTAATTAGTTTTCGTCAAAATATCGCGATATTATCGATAATATCGCGATATTATCAATATTATCGATAATATCGCTCTTTCTCCGTCGTCGGAACGGCAGACGAGATTCGTCGTTGCAGCTGCCAAGATCTGCGCCTCTCTCTGCCAAGATCTGCGCCTCTCACAGGTAGTGATGGTGCTCGCCGGAGTGTGCACCACTGTGGTGGAGATCACGGTGGGGTGGGTGTTGTGTGTCTCCCCTCCGCTCGCTTGCTCCCTGTCTGTTCTTTTTGCGGTGGTGAACGAATGGCAGTGCAGCAGATCGAACTAATTTGAGCTTCACACTAACACGGAGAGAGAGATCTGAGACTTACCTAACCGGAAAATCAAAGAATACTCGCCGAAAAGTTATGGGCTCCGCCATTCTCGTAGAGGCGGAAGAGAGAAGACTGATGATGTGTTCCTCGATCTGCTCAAGTCGAGCAGATGGTGCTGCTCTGTGTGTGTGTGTGGTCACGGCAAGAGAGGGAGAGAGGTAAGAGGGTTTCGAGAGAGAGAGAGACAGTGCAGAGAAGAGAGAGAGAGAGTCGAAGTGAGTGAGAAGGAAATGGGGTCTCGGGGTAGAGGAGAGACCCATGTAGTGGGTTCTTTGTATTTTAAAAAGTTGTGGTCATGTTTTAATTATGAAAACCCACGTAGTGGGTTCTTTGTATTTTAAAAAGTTGTCCAAGTTTGAGATCCACCCACACTACGTGGGTGTTTTATAATTTTAAAAGTTTGAGATATATTTTATATATATATATATATATATATAAATGTTATATAAATATAAATTATGAATTATTTAGTTGAAAGGCAGGAGAAAACAAAAGAAAAAAAGGAAAAGGAAAAGAAAATAAGAAAGAAAAAAAAAACACCAAGGGGATTTAAATCCCTCCATTTGTCAACCACACACCTAGACCTTATCCAACTCGCTATACATGTGTTTGTAATTACATATTCAGCCTGTAATATTTATTTAGTTGTTAAGATGTCTGCAAAGCTTGCAAGCTAATATTTATTATCTAGGAAAATTTTCTATATTTAAAAAAACAACAAGGGGATTTGAACCCCTCCCATTTTACTCCTTCAACACCTTGACCACCATATCACTTATGTTTTTGTGAAAATATGCTAAAATACACTTACTCTACACATAGAGATGACGAAGATAGTGAAAATTTTGAACCTCATAAGAACTCTATGTGGTACTAAGTCACTCATGTATCTTACCATGCAATGTATAAAGTGTAAAATATTGTACTAATTCATTATATATAAATGATTATGGTGTGTTTAAACTTCTTTCATTAATTACTACATATTTTCTACACTCACAATGTTTGCCAGCTCGCTATATAATCAACTTAAATCAGTTAAATCCATCATGCAATGCATTTCCTTCCAATTTTTTGTGATAAACTAATAGATAATTGACTAAATAAACATCATGCAAAGTTTCAATAAAAATTTCCAAGTTTTTCTTACAATTTCCGTGGTTTCCATACTATTTTTATCGATATTGATAATATCCCGATATTTCCATCTATATTTCCGTGTTTTTGGACTACCAATATTTCCGATATCATCGATATTTAATACCTTGCCTGCAGGTGAGGGTTCAATAAAAAATAATAAAATTTGGACTTGTGAAATCACATTATTGCCCATCATTTTTTGTTTGTGTGATAGAAGACTAAATTGTCTTTTCATCCACTTTTGGTTAACAAAGAGGGTTTCATTAATTAGTAGAGATTAGTACATGTCTACACACAAAGTGTGTGTGAATATATATATATATATATATATATATATATATATATATATATATATATATATATATTTAAATTGAAGAGAGATGAAAAGAGGGAGAGATAACATGGGAGTGGGAGTGAGGAGGGAGGGAGAGAGGTTTAATTTATTCATTTATTTATTTAAATTTTTGAAATTAGAGATGTTAAAATTATGTATAGGAGATGCTTATACAAAAAACTATAAAATTTTATTTTGTAAAATTACGTTACTACCTTTAACTTTTTTATTATAATACAACACTAAATAATTTTTTCATCTTATTTTAATTGACAAATAAGATTATATTAATATGTACTTTAAACTAGAAAATGGCGCCACTTAGTAGCTACTGGTATTCCTTAGATAATTGTTTGTCAAAAAAAAAAAAGGAGAATGGCAATTTTAAGTATTTCAAAAGCTTCACCATTCTGTGGTATTGACTTTATGGATCGATAGAGATAGATATAGATGTACTCAATTTGGAAAACGATTCCAAAGTTTTTATCTTTTTGCCATGTAATGACAAATAAAATAGGTGAAACGATATCATATATGTAGGACGCGTGTTCATGTTTTTTTATTGTTATTTTTGTGTGTTCGTTATTAAGAAAAATATTTTTATTCATCACTTTTAAGTGATGGTGATACTTATCATCTTTTTCATCATAATTAGATGAGATTAATTTAGAAATTTATATAATAAATCAAATCAATCTTAAAATTTAAATACATTCAACAATAATACATAAAATAGTGCACATTACTATTACGTGAGCATGGTGAAAAGAAAAAACACTCATTCACCAATAATGTGTTTATGGGCCAGCCTTATCTAACATATTTTTTCTTTTCTTTTTTAATATAACTTTGCATCATAGAGTAATCAGCATAAGGAAATAAATTATACGCTGGAAAACCAAACCACATGATGCCAGCCAGGCCAAACCATATGAATACTATTAATACATGCGGAAATTAAATTATAGACCACAAACTAACCCATCTATATAATGTTTGTCCAAAAATAAATCTCCATGAAGTTTTGTTAAAATGCACTTGGAAAGCAAACACGGGTTAAGTCAAGTTAACTAACCCTTTCCACCTTAGTCTGAATCTCACTCTACGTAGTTTAGATGAATTTAATGTAATTATTCTAAGTGTTTTTTTATTGGCAACCCACGTATTATTTAATACATACCACAATTATTATTTTTTTACTATTGAATGACTATTTAGGCCGTATAAGATTTTTTGAAAAATATATTTTTTCTGAATGCACCCGAGATCATAACACATTCAAAAAATGCAAAAACTTCAATCCATGATAAACAAAGTGATAGATGTATTCACTCTTTGTTATCAAAATTGGGTCAAGCGTTTCAATGTCTTAATAATATGAAGAAATTGTCGTTTCGTAACTAATTTTTGTTCATGGTCGAGAAGACGAATGCACAAGGTTTTTTTTTTTTTTTTTTTAACGAACGAAGAGTTTGATATGGGATTTAAGTGGTGAGTGTGAGGTCTACATATAGAGCGTGGTGAGTGAGAGTAATGTTAGAAAGTACATGGGCTGTATTAAAAGTTAAAACAAATTAACCAAACAGCGTGAAGTAATTCAAATTTTTTCTGCGTTCTCAATAATGACAAAGCAAATATTTACAGTGACAAGAATCTCATCTCTCCGATTTTCAATCAGAAAATTAATTGTCACAAAGAATATAAATTGTTACAAAATAAGATCAACATACTCATTCACTTTCACTGCATGCAGGTCTTCAACTAGTTGAGGGGTAAAAAAAAAACCCATGTGATGAGAGATGAATCGTAATGGTCAGTTAGCAGAAATCAAGGATGTGTTAGAAGTAATCACTTGCAGCTTCAAATCTCTGGTAAATCCAAATCCCTGGAGGTAAAAGTAAAACCCAAATGCAAGCAAACATATATTACAGCTTTACAGTTTGACTGCTCCTGATTTTCTCTTTGTTTTTTGCGTTTCCATTTTGTATTTGTAATGAGAAAAATCTACTGAGACTTAGCACCACAGTTGCAGCATTTTTCTATGAACCACGCTAACCTGTTTTCACAAAAGGAAATAGATAGCAGTATTACTCAAATTAACTGAATAAATTGAACGCAAAATGCTATATGGTTAACTTTGCGCAATAGTTGCAAGGTGCTTGTAACTCATTATAAAAGAGCGTTTACCCTCGCAAGTGAAACACTTGAATGGGTTGACTTTCTTAACTACCAGTCAACTCATAGATAGGTTAATTTCCTTCTGAGGGTCTTCAAACTGTTTTTAACAATCTACATTTTTCACTGTTAACTGTCTGCAGTGGTTGTTTTTTATCTGTGTGTTTCTACGTTTGCTCAGCTCTGATTGGTAGGTCTAGGCTTTTGGATGATTGGATCAAAGAAAGTACATCAGTGTGGATTTACCATGGTTCTCAAATAAAAGGAAGTAAAAAAGTAAAAGCCTATACCAGTCAAAATCCTCAACCAGGATCATCTGCTGCATACAGTAGCTTGAATTGCATTGCCATGATTCTCAAATAAGGAAGTATAAATCATTTCCCATTTAAATGTTGGAAAAATCAGTGTTTAAAAACTAATTATGTTTCTGTAATTGATCACTACTGCAAAAACTACACCGATTCAAAACTCTGAAATTCTAATGCAAAAATACATGTTTTGATTAACTAACTAATCTATATTTCATCCAATATGGTAAGCAAAAATTTGACTAAGAACGGTTCCCCTAAATGCTAATTAATGCTGTTGTTATCTAAGTTTGTAATGAGATAGAAAGCACTTACAAGTCTACAAGGCATGAGCTTTTGGAATCCGAATCCTCGGGTGGTCTCTGATAATCCAACGAGAATGGTGATGGTGCTGCAGGACTACTAGGGAGCTTCTGACCATGAGGCAGAAGAGGGAGGTTCTCCGCGGACGCGTGGCTCGAGGGAGGCTGAGAGAAAGGCAGCGAAGGGGAGGGAGACGGCGAGAATGTGTACCTTTGGTTGCCGGGTCCTACACTAATTGGAAGTGGAGAGGGAGGTGTTGGAGGAGATGGTGTTGGAGGAGATGATGTTGGAGAAGCGTAGGCTTTTTTCTCATCATCGTCCTCCATTGAAATATTTTGCACAACATGCAGATTAATGTTTGATTACCCATCCACATAGAAGTAGGCTGCTCTGCCCATCTTGGTTTGTAAAATTCTGCAGAGGAATCCCACCTAGGCCTTTGAGAGTTCCTTGTAGTGATATAATTCTGCTCAAATTCCCTTGATGTTAATGACTCTCGCAAAGGCAGTCCTTGTGGTGGTGCAAATCTAGGATGCATGAATCTCATCTTTGCACAGCTCTTAAAATCAACAAACTAAAACCTACAAAAATAAAGATAAAATCAACCAGTAAAGAAAAAAGATATATACACAAATACTTGCAAGAGCATAAGGTTGTCGTAGTGTAGCAGCTCAAGCAAGGTCGTTTTCCACAGAAATTGATTGAATAATTTATATTTAAACTAATCCTTAGCTAATTATTTAGAACAAAATTTCTATAAGGTTGATTTGGGAATTTAAAATAATAAAAACGAATTTTAAAATAAAACAATTAAAGAAGTTAACAAAGAAAAACTAAAGAAAATAGTTTTGAAAATAAAGCTAAAAACCTAGGGTTGCGCCGTCCCCTTAACAATCCTATGTAGTTTTACCAATTACTTATGAATTACACATGCAACTTTGAAGGTTAGGTTTTCCTTATGCATATTCTCCTCGTGATATTCAAGCAAGAACGTAAATCTAACACGCAATCTGCCTGTGATATTTAGATCAAATATAAACATGCAAGACTCATTAAGTTTTATGAAAACCTTTTGAAAAACCATGCTACCCCTAAGAGCGTGATATTCGCCTTAGGTGAAATTACAATTATTAACCACATGAAGCAATACTCAATCCTCCAGTGATATTCCGACCAAATTGCATCCGATTACTTATCTAAACATCCTAATGGTAGCTAAGCATTAAGACATAGAGATAGTTCAAGCACAATGATTAATAATTCAAAGTATACATGCATAATATCATAAGCAATTGAATAAAGACTACATATTCATGCTAAGGCTCAAGGCTTCGCCCTAGCAAACGAAAATTAGTTACTAACAATCATACAACGAAATATTATTAAAAATAAGGATAGAGAACACCTTGAAAATAAACTTCAAAGTCTCTCTAAATTAGTGCGTGCGTTCTCTCCTATGTTGCCTCTCTTCCTCAACCCTAATGGCTAAAAGTCTTATTTATACTACTGCAAAATAAAACCCTAAAAGGTCTTAGAATAAAACTAGGAAATCAAATAAATTGAAATAAAATAGGAAACATAATTCTAAATTAACTACATAAATTCGCCCAAAATCTGCACAGCCTCAAAACAGCCACGTTTCTGGATCTTTAGGGCTCCGAAACAGGTCCAAAAAGGCTAGAAATAAAGCTTGAGATGTCCTGAACATAATTGCAGAAGGCTTTGAACTCAAAAGACATCATCTTAGACGCCAAAAAGCCCAAAGAAACCCAATACGTCAGTTTAACAGCACTGCACGCTGCTCCTTTATTCTATCGCCAGAAAATCATCGCTTGGTATAAAAATCTGATATTTTGATATGATCAAGCCAAGTGACTCACGAACGTCCTCCAACTAGAGTTACTCCAAAATTCATCCGTTTGACCACGTTTTGCTCCAGAAGACGTCGAAAGTCCTATATCGAAAATACAATTCAAAGTATCAAAATTCTTCCAAAATAATATCCAAAATATACTAAAAATAGGGAATAATATAAAAAAGGTCGTACCCAGTGCACAAGGCTCCCGCTTTACGCAGGGTTTGGGAGAGGTGAATGTCGGCTAGCCTTACCCCCATATAATATAAAATTCACTTATCAATGTTCTCTCTCCCTCTCTCTTTCTTGGCCTTGGAAGTATGTAATTAGGACAATATGTCCCTCTGAGGCAAAGTCATGACTTTCCCGGGAGTTTTATTTTTGTTTGAATCTTAGGTATAACCTAACTGTCATGGGCACTCCTCAGCTGCTCATTCCTTGTTTCATGCACATAATCACATGCCAATTTAGTAAGCTGGTTTACTTTTCTTACTAGGTCTTCTCGTTTGTACTTGTTACTTTGGGCATTGACTAATTTTGTATTGTTCATGTTTACTTAACAGGAATGTGAATGTAAAGACTCAAGAAATATTGGAATAGAAAAGTAAGAAAAGGGAATCAGATCGTCTGATCTCCCAGAACTTAGATGATCATGATTATCAGGTATTGGAATACGATGTTTAAGGAGAAACTCACACTTTTCCTAATTGTATGTGTCAATAAACACATGAACAGTTAGGAATTGAGGCATGTTTACTCATCATGAGAAGGAATGAAGATACGAAGGATTGGATATGGGATAAACAATACCATGGATACCAGAAACAATTTGGATCCACTTTTGTTTTTCATTTTTTTTTTGACACACATGAATTAGAATCATAAGAGGTCGCACTTGGTGCGATGGCAAGTGCCTTCGCCCATGAGCGGTAGGTCTCGGGTTCGAGACTTGGGAGCAGCCTCTCCATAAATGGGGGTAAAGGTTAGCCGACATTCACCTCTCCCAGACCCTGCGTAAAGCGGGAGCCTTGTGCACTGGGTACGATCTTTACGACCTTTACATGAATTAGAATCATACACTCCTTTTAGTCCTTAAGTAAACACATGAGTAAAAATGATATCCATTCCTTATAAGTAAACATGCCTTCAACATATTTTAACGCTTACATTCTATTTGGATAAAAAAAAATTAAAATTACTAAGGAATTTTAAAATGATAGAAATTGAAATGACGGAATTTAATTTTCTTGGATTTGTGAATTTTCTTGTTTGGTTAACCTAAAAGAACAATAAAATTTGAATACGAAATTTTTATTTTTAAACTCTCACTTATAGAAATTGAGAAATGACACATCTTTCCATAAAATTTACACTATGTTTGGATGAGTGAAATAAACTTGGAATTTTGGTAAAAGTTAGAATTTATAAATTGATATGCGCCAATTCCCTTATTTAGATTCATAAACATAGAAACTTAGAATTTCCGCGTGGAAAAAAAACTTCGAATTTGGGATCTCCAATTCCCAAGTTCAATTCCATGTAAATAGGTGTCATTTCCCAATTTCTATGATTGAGTTAAAAATAACAAATTTCGTATTCAACTCCATTGTTCTTTTAGGTTAACCAAACAAGAAAATTTACAAATTTTAGAAAATAAAATCTTGTCATTTCAATTTCCGTCATTTTGAAATTCCTTAGTAATCTTAAATTTCTTCGTCCAAACATAATGTTAAACTTGGGAATTGTAGGTCTCAAATTCTAAGTTTTTTTTCCATGCGGAAATTCTAAATTTCTATGTTTATAAATCTAAACAAGAGAATTGGTGAATGTCAATTTATAAATTCTGATTTTTGTCAAAATCTCAAATTTATTTCTCTCATCCAAACATAATATTATATTTTAGTAAATGTAGGAAATCATAACTATTTTATTCTCATTCTCTATAAGTAAATTGTGTATCATGGTTTAGTTGGACACCAATCCTGTTTTTAATAGGTTTGTACCAAGGTCCTGGACCCTATATATAAGTACAGGTTGTTTGCAGGTTGATTAGAAGCTGTGACCTACCAAATTTAGATTGATCAGAAATTTCAATGGAGAATGAGAATGAGATTTGATTCTATTTTAATTTTAATGAAATTTCTGACCGAGAACAAAATCCTCTCAGGTCTTGTCACAAACTGTGATTTTATACGACACTTACATATAGGTTTTTTTAGTTAAAATGGTCTATATATTTGCAATTTATAGGATTGGTTTTTGAGTTTATCCACTATCAATCATTTTGATAATTCCGTGAAAAAATTTCATTAAATAAGAATGAAATTGCAAAAATACCGTCAATTTTTGTCCAATCATTTTCTTATTATTTATTAAATTGAGAATACTTTTGTCATTCTAGTCCTTATTTAACATAATTTTTCATGGACGAACAAAAATGATTGATGGTGGCGAAACTCATGGACTTCTTCTATTGATTTCAAATCTCAGGGATAAAAGTAAGGAGTTAAGCTAATCTTAGAAATCATTTTTGACACACCCCGACCCGGAACGTCCACCTGGACTCCGAATCGAGCTATGTTGGCCGACACCTGGAAGGTGACGAAGCCATAAAGTGTAGTGATGTGGAAATGTGAATAAATTAAAACCTAGAAGTGCCTAATTATAAGAGTGCGCTATGAGCGGAAATGAACCCAATTCACACGTGATGACAGAGCATAAGTACAGTACAATAAAATAGGATGAGAAATTATATCATCGAAGGTAACCGTCTACCCCAAGATTTTGCCAAGAATCCTCGTCGATATGAAAGCTCGGCTACTAAAACCTGGAGGGGCGAAAAACAAGGGTGAGTGGGCTTGAAAATAAAGTTTTAATAAAAACCTTTGAAAACGTTATAACACCTCGTTGTAAAGCATGTATAGTTCCCAAAATATACATACTACGTATAGTATGAAGATACTTATCGTAGCCTGCACATCGTAAATAAGGCATGACATCCCAAAATCCCAAAATCTCAACAATAATATAAGTAAAATCAGGTGCTTAACAACCTATGCTAGCACACCAGTCAGAGTCGCCTAATGCGACCTGTACGACTGAACTAATTTGCTCATCCATCTATGCTAACACATGAGTCGGAGTCACCTAATGTGACTTGTACGACAGGACTAGGTGTAATAATAAACGTTGTAGTGCTACAATCATGTGAAGACTAGCGCTATTCGCTGTCACATACGAGTCAAAATTGCCTATTGCAATATATACGACAGGACTAACACCTACTTGGATCCAAGGCGAGCGTGCGGTGCTGATGTGAACAACACGTGAAAGACTAGCCTAGCCCTGGGTTGAGCACTAACACCTGGGTGTAGCAATGATGAGCATACTATATGAATATATGCATGCCATAATGATTCAATAATTCCAATCAACATAATAACCTTACCTGAACTTACCTGCGCATCCTGTAATTATTTTAGCATTTCGCAACAGTACAACATTTATGAGCAGGTAAAATGTATACGAATATGCCATGACAATATATTTCATATATTTCGTCATTTCACTAATTCTTATAAACTTTAGTCAAAGCTAGGCATACGTAAGGAATTCTTTTCCAAATGCATAAATGGAAACTATCAATCATATATATACACATATACATATATATATATACACACACACTATAAAAAGGAAAAGACTCGCTCATCT